TAATATATGAAATAATAAAAAGAAAAGATAAATAATAAAGAAATATGATGTATTTAATATATAATATAATTTATTATCAAATATAATAATATCAAATGATGATTTATTTTTATTTCAAAATATTTTGCATCATTAAATTTTGGGCTTTTTTTATTGCACTTTTTTATTTGTTTCAATAAAATTTGCATCCTTTATTTTTTTTCATTCTTTTCTTCTTTTATCATCTCTTTTGTTTTATTACACTTTATCTTCTTTATTTTTATATTCTCTCCTTTCTACTTTTATTCTTTCTTCATCATATCCAACTTTTTACTTTCTTTTTATTCTTTTATATCATTCATTCTCTTCTTTTTCCATTATTTGCTTTTTTCGTTGCCCAACATCAATGTCATTTTTCTTTGATAATATTCATATATTCAATTTGATCCATTCGTTATCAAATGTACTTACATTCTAATAAGTAAATAACACTGCTTTTTTATAAATACTCATTCTTCTATTATAATAAATGTTATTTCATAGTCGTCACAAATAATCATCATTTACATTCTTTGTAATATTGAGTATTATGTATTCTAACCAAATACAACACAATATTCAGAAGATAACTTGTGGTTCAATGTTTTGTTTCATTTTAGTGTTTGTGTGCTGTTTCTGAAATGCCTTCTTTGAGTTTTCAAGACGATTTATTCACAAAATAAGAATATTTAAAAACACAAAATTAGAACTTCAGAAATTGTTTTAGGCTATATGAATTAATTTATTTAGTTAAAAATACTGAGCAATTCAATCTTTTGATTTTTTTTCAAAAAAGAAAAATTCAAAGAATGAAAACAAGAAGATTATATACTTGATAAAAGATGGTTTACTTTGTTGCTTTCGATTTATTCTTTTATATGTTTTCTCTGTGCATTAATTGGAACGATATTGTTGATTGTAGTAATAGTCAAATATCCAGGAACATGGAAGAGTGTAAATCAATCTACAAGAATAGATTATGAAAAGAATGTTTGTAAATACTCTTTATTAATAAATAACATATTTTTATATCATAGGAAAGATGTTGCTTGTTCTATAAAAAATCAGAAAATTTAATATTCAAAGATTGTCCACTTGTTAATTTAGATGATTCTTATATAAGAAATGACACTTGTATCTCTGAATATAATTTTGTTGTGTTTAATAAAGATGATCTCCGTATTTCTGATTACAAGATTTGCTCTATTGTTCCTAAAGAAGATTTCCCATTTCAAATATGTTCCATTGTTATTGGGTTTATTCTGACTATTGTTTATTTGTCATTAACAATTGAATACTTGGTTGTTTCATTTGTTGGTATTCCAGAATTATCGATTAAGTATTTATATCTAAATCCAGACCAAATAACAGATTCACTCATTCAAAATGAGTCTAATCTCTAGAATAGAAAAATCTATTTTATCTTTTAATGACTTTCATTCTTTTTTTTCTTAAAAAAAACAATAAACAACATACTAAACATCTAAGTTAGATTATATTTAATACTCTTTCTTATATCCTAATAAAATATCTAACATAACAACTGTCGATAATTCAAATAAAATTCTGTGTTTATATAAACAAACTTATTTAATTCTATAATCATCAATTACAACAATATTTTATTTAAATATCAATAAAAATAAGTTTAATAATATGTGATTAAGTTTTTTATATTCTTTTGTGGCTATATTAATATCAAACAACCATTCACATATCTATGATACCTCAAAAATATTTAATGCATCAAATGTTCTATCCATTAAAATTTACTTACTGAAATACCTATAAAGATTAATTGTAACATTTATTATTCTTTTATGAGTCATAAAGGTATAATTAAAAATATATTGAAAAAAATTAATTAAAATGAAGATAAGAATTGTAGCCACTCATTAGGATCTTCAAAATACAAAGTAACACTTTATTTATCAACTATAATAATAATACACTCTCTCTTCATTTTTGTTTCAGTAACAACGATCATATTTTTAAATAGTAATACCATGAGAGTTTGACCTTCTCCCATATTCCTAAATATCATTAAACAATTCTTCTTCATTATAACCCACTTTTTCCACCATTTCTTTCATTCTAACATTTCAACATCTCCTTTTTGATGATATCTTTTAATGTTAATACGACTGTTTTATCATCTTGGTGTTCTTCTACTAACTTATTAAAATGAAAGATTCATCTTACATTTAATAGAATAATTTTTATCGATATGAGTCTATTAAGTTCATTAATTTTGTATATATTTAAATAATTGAGAAACAGCAGATATTCTTTTAACTTATTTTCAATTACCTATTCAAAATAACTTCATATCGAAGAACCTTATTATAATAATTTATCTAGTCTTTTTTAATTATAAAATAATGTCAAGAAACTAATAAAAACAAAAGTAAATCAAACACAAAATATTAATTCATTAATAATTCTGTAACATAAACTTTTATTTTCTTCTTTCTAAGTTTAACATTTCATCATAACTAATTAATGTTGATACATTTCTCTCTTTTGAAACAATAGTGACTATAAACATAACACAATTTATATTAGAATAAAGCTGATAATTGTTGAATGAATGATCTATCTATAAATAGAGGTATTGATATTATATAAGAGAATTATATGTAAAGTTTATTTTAATTAATATTACAAAATTTTTAGAGCTGAATTAAAAAAAGTAAAAATAATGAAAAGAATATGTGTCTAACACTTGTTAAAACACGTTACTACTTATGATAAATTTACAAACACACAAATATTTTATATTCATAGCATTAAATGAAGTATCATGTTTATTAAAAATAATAAAAATAAAACCAGATACAACTATAAATATAATACATCCCATTTCAATATCAATAAAAACACTAAAATATAACATCAATAAATAATAAAAAGCAGTTATGAAAAATAGAAATTCATAACAACAATATTTTATTAAATTAAATACATTTAGCTAATTAAACAAAGAAAAAGATTTATTAGACACAAAATATCTTTAAGAAAATGAATAAAAGAAAAATAAACAAAGATGTTTAAAAATGAAAAGCAAAAATATAATCACAACAAATATTTGAATGTTATTTTAAACATTATCTAAATGGTTAAAATGAATAAATTCTTTTAGCAAAAAATTATATGTGTAATATTTAATTTATAATTTAATTGTAAAAAAAAAATATTTTGTAAGAGCTGTCAACAAAAAACTCAAAAAATAACAACCGAATTAAAAGAAAAAAAAATTAGTCATATCACAATACTAACACACTTCCCAACAGCCATGTAGTTCTGACAATTTCTGGATCTTTAAAATTTATTGAAACACAAATAAACATATTGTAACAATTCCATAAAAAGAATTTTTCTTTACTCAAGTCTGTACTAAAAATAACATTGAATGATTAATAAGAACATCGCATTCTTATACAAGTAGTTATTTCTAACTATTTAACAAACTCTATTTAATAACCACATACCAATTTTTACAAGAGACAATGATAGAAGTAAAAAGTGTTGTAAAAATTTGAATGTATCTATTAATCCCTCAAATGTATAAAAATAAACAATACCTCTATTTAACTTAGAAATAATAAAAATGCTTATTTTAGGTTATTTTGATATAACACGTATAACCCACGAGATCAATACGTAGTTCATACATCATGTTATTGATAACACAAAATCTAAAAAAATGAAAAAATAAATTAATGTTGTGTGTACCTTATAAAAGAAGGTTTGAAGATGATGATGATGAAAATCAAATCCAACGCAATCAAATTCAATTTCATATGATTAAAATGTTTCCAATGTTAAGAAGAATGAAGTTTGATGAATCATTTTTACAAGGCAAACGATATGTTGAAGACTTACCAACAGATGGTGAATCCCAGAAACAAGAAAAACCACCTATTAAAGAACAAACAATTGTACCAATGGAAGTATGTCATCCAGTAGATTGGAAACCAAAAATGGTTAAAGAATTAGAACATGTTGGGTATCAACCTAACCCGTTATTAGACAGAATTTTTTGGAAGAAACCAACTAATGCAATGATTGTATATCAAGAACCAAATCATTGTGTAAAACAAATGATTAATTCCAAATTAAATACTACTCAAAATACTCCATCTAAAATGATGGATTTATGTTAATAATTGATTGATATTTATTTATAATTTTTTTTTATCTTTTAATTTACCATGTCTCATATTTTATTTATTAATACCACTAATTCACAACCAATTTATGCACAACCAATTGCGTCTACATTATTTTATACTAATAAAGGAAAAGATCTCTTTCTTATTGATTGTGGAGAAGTTTGTCAATAGAATAAGTTGTATATTTAATTATTTTAATGGATAAAGTTCATTAGTTTTTTAGGGAATTGCAAACCAATTAATTCAAATGAAAGTCCCAATTGAAAGAATTCGTGGAATTATCATAACCAGTTCACAAGCTAACCGTTCAAGTGGAATAGGTGGAATTGTTCATATTATTTCATTTTCAACAAAAGGAAAAGTTTGATTTAATTACTTTTTCATTGTGCATCTACTCTTCAGAAAGTTAAATCATTTAGATTACAATTGTTGGACCTAAAGGAATAAAAATGTTGGTTGATTCTTTATTTGAGTATTGTGGAGAAAAATCCCCTGAGCCAATCAATTATATAGAATTAAATGTAACAGAGATAACTCAACTTAATATATGTAATATTCAATTCACTGTTATTCCTTCAGTTCATAATAACTCAATACCAAACTATGGAATTATTTGTCAAATAAAAAACAGACAATTAAATCAAAAAACAGTTGTAATGTTTAATGGAGATATAAGAAACTTTTCTCCACTGATAAATCATATTCAAAATAATAAAATTCAAATAGACATGTTGGTATATGACTATATAATTAATCAAAACACAAAAATTCAAAGAAAATGTGAATGTCCAACTCCTGACATTATATCTAATATTGTTAATGGGTGTATTTGTCCGAGTAAATTTGTCATTCGTTGCTATTCATCAAAATGTGTAGAGAAAGAAATTAATGAAATCATAAACCACATCCAAAATGAAACTCAAATTCAAACTTTAGTTGCATACAATGGAACTAATGTAACATTATTTTAAAAAAATAACTGAAAGACTTTTTAATTGTTAGTAAATTAATAAACATTTGAAAATAATTCTTTCTATTATTAAAATCAACTGAAAATCGTATTTTAATAAACAATTATTCAAATAATAAAAACAATAATAATAATAAGCAATTAATTAAGTATTAATAGAATTATCTTCTATTATTCCTGAATCAGCGGAGACTAATCTCATCCCTTCGTCTTCATCTTCTTCTTGTAGCTCTACAGAGTATGTTTGATTGTGATCTCCGCAGTATTCCATGACATCCATCATGTTTTTTATGACAAGGTTTTTCATTTCTTTCTTGATGTCAATGTCATTTTTTAATTCTTTAATTAATTTAATACTTTCTTTATTCACTAATCCATTTATTGAAATTACTACTGGATTTATTTTGACATCTTTTAACTTTTCTATTTTCATTAACCTACTCTTTAATTCCTTATACATATTTCTTTTCTTCCAATATTCTCAATTAATATTGTGATCAGCCACAATAGTCATATCAAATAATAGACAAGTTTTGTTCTTTTTATCTACTACGTATATGTCTGGTATTTTGTGGTATTGTCATTCACTTTTATGCATTATTTGTTTGTTCATATCATTGTAATGTCTTTATATTGTAACACTGTTTCATATGGGGATTTTATATTGTTTATTTCATGTATATTTTCTTATTAACCCCTCCCATATTATTATGCCGATATGGTCATGTTTCTCCATTTAACAAAATAAATAATACAACAAAGAAAGTTTAATGAAGTATGTAAAAAGGATAAAAACCAAAAGTAAAATCTTAGAAATAAAAGAAGATAATCATATAAATAAAAGTATGATAATAAAAAACGTAGAATTAAATGACGTTTTCAGAGAAAGGAATTACGTCTGACCACGTTCGATAAACTAAAAAAGGAAGAAAAAGAACTTAAAAAAAACAAAATGACCAAAAGAATTACTGGAGAATTTGCCAAACTTCAAAAGAATAAAGAAGGTTGGTTTACTGTTGGAACATATTCAGATGATATTTATCAATGGAAAGTAATAATTAATGGACCAGAAAATAGTCCATATGAAGGTGGAAAGTTTGAAGTTAAAATCACCCTTCCTAAAGAATATCCACATAAACCACCAATGTTAGTTGTAATGACTAAAGTTTATTCACCAATTGTTAATCCTGAAGATCATACTATTTGCCATCCAATTCTCCAAACTGATAATAAACCAGGAAATTGGGCACCTACATCATCAGTTTATGAAGTTCTTGTTGCATTTAGAAGTATGCTTGGATCACTTTCTACTGATCATGTCTCAGATACTGAAGTTGCTCAAGTTCTTGCAGAAAGACCTGAGGAATTTAAAAAGACAGCCAGAGAATGGACAAAGTTATATGCTAAATGAAATAAACATATTTAATTTACAAGCATATTTATCATTTGTATTTATTATTCTTTTTTTTTATCAATCATATTTAAATAATTATTTATAATAACACTACAATTATTTGTATTATCATAATTTCTCTTCTTACAACTCCATATTTTTAGCTTGATACATCTCTTTAGTACTTCATTTAAAACAATGAGTAATGAAAAAGACGGTTCTAGACTATTTGATGATTTATATTTTACCTTATTTATTACAACAAATTATACAATAGCTCTTTGTTTTGTTTTTGTTTAATTATTAACATAGCTTTACAGGAGTGATATTACTATTTTTTATTAGATTATTTAGTGCTAAATTTTAGTGGTTCTATCAAGACACAAATTAAGTCATCCACAACTTTATTCTAATATTTGTTGAGGTAAAACAATCCTAGTCAATAAAAATCTCTTACTCATTGTAAGTATTGTTTGTGGATATTCATTAACACTTTTTATTTGTCGGTCCATCTATTCTGTTCTTGCTTTTCCATATTTGTTATACTCTTTATTTCATGGTTATGAAAGAGCCAATAGAATTTATTAAAATTCTTTTACTAAAAGGAATTTACTAAATACTACAAATAATTTTATTCGATTTTAAACCATGTTATTTTTAATGGTTTAGTGATTTTTCTATTCAATGAAAGCATAAGATGTTATTACATGAATAAGTGAGTTGAATTTTTAGTATAATGAACAAGTATTTTTAATATAATTTTTTTTAAAAAGAATAAAAATAATTAACATTGAGTCATTGTAAATTTTTATTAGAGTATTTTCTAACAACAACAGAAATATAATATGTTTAATTCTTGTAAAGAAAATGTACAATTGATATACATTTAAACAACTGAAATAAATTAATACATTCAATGAAATTATGAAAGTTTCTCAACATAAAAAACAAAAAGAAAGAAAAAAAAAAAACTAAAAAAAAGTGATTTATTGAGATGTTAACATATAATCGATTCTATGAAGTAACTAATCCAATCACATTTCCATTTGGAGTTTCATTTCGTCCATTTGAATGTGAACCTCCATTTCCATGTGGGGAAGTTATTGATAAAAAACCATTTCAATGTAAGAAATGTGGTGCTTATGATAATTGTTTTAATCTTCGGGTAAATGGAGAATTTCTTTGTTGTGTCTGTGGAGCTATGAATCCAACGTTTATTACATACAAAAATTTTACATCAAATTCATTAGTTGTTTGTCCTTCTATGTGTCAACCAACAAATTTCTTTTTCAATAACAATAAACCAAAATTACAAATCTCTATTGAAACTATTGTTGTAATATTCATGCAACCGAAAGAAGCTGATAATTGTGTAAAAGAATGTTTAAAAGAGTTATGGAAACGTGTACAAAAGAAACACATTAAAAGAAAATTATTAATAGTTGTTGAAAATGATGAAGGACTTCATTTAGGATCTTTTAAAGGAAATCAAATTCATTTGATAACTATTCCACAAGAAGAAATCACAGAAGATAATTTTTGTTTAAAAGAAATGATAAATGAAAATACTTTTAGATTTGAAGAAACAGTAGATGAATTATCGTTTGATAATATTATTGATACAATGCTGACTTTTAATAATAGAATTCATGGGGCAGAACAATGTTATGAATTACTTCGTCAAATTAATACGTTTGAGAGTGATATGAGAATATGTCTTTTTAGTGGTGAAATAGTAAGAGAAACTATACAAATAGATATAGAACAAGTCCGTTACAAATTTCCAATTCATTTCGTCTTATTTTCTTCTTATTGTAGTGAAATAATAAAAATAAATAAAATTATTGAACAAACTGGTGGGTCTTTACATATTTGGAACATCAACCAACAACATTTAGACATTTGTTATAGAGACTTATTTGATAGGTTATTATGTGTAAGAACGAGAGGAGGTAATAAACTTTTATTTTTTTCACATAACTCGATCAAAGCAAATTTTCATAATGAATTCTTTCAACCAAATGAACCAATGCCTTCACTGAATCCATTTACATACTTCCATTTTATATTATCATTTAATAAAGCAATATCACTAAATTACTTTCAAGTAGTATTTACTGATGTTTTCTTAAAAGATGGAAAAGCAACTCCTTTTACTAGAATTGAAACTATTAAAGTTGGACATACCAAAGACACTTTTAAATTTTTTGATAATTATCCACCAGCATTAGCATTATCCACTTGTATGCAATTTAATAAAGATGATATGTTAAAGATACTACCTAATATGATTAGATATTATCAACCAATACAAACACATCCTTTATTTAAACTCCTTGCTCAAATTCTTCATATTGTCAGTGTATCAGCTCTCTATTCCCCTGACCCATTAATGTCTTCTTTATCACATTATTTATTGATACAACATTCTCCTCAATATTCAATGGCAATCTTTAATCCACCAATTATCATTTATCCTACATTACAATCTCTTCAACAAAAACCAACAATAACACCTTCATTACAGGAGCTCATTAAAATGAGTCCTGATCTTGTATTATATCCATCTCAACGTCTTCTCTTGGTTTTATATAATCCAAGAATTATTAAAAATCAAAATATTCCACTTAGAGAAAATATTAAACATATCACTCATATTCTAGCTGCTATTGACTCATTTAAAAGACTTAGTTATGAACGTCCACAAAGATATATTATATATGACTTCTTATTAACTGACCCAATCTTGACAAAATATATTCATTAATCAAATCTTTTCATCTTTTTTACAAACTCAAAATATCTTAAAAAAGAATTAATTATGCTTCTGAACTTGAATGCAAATGTCTTTTAATACTGAATCAAATAATTCATGAGCTTGTTTAAGAATTGTTTGTTCATCTGCATCTTCATTTATAACAACTACAACTGACCCAACAAAGTTATTTGGTGATAATGTCCAGAAATGTTCATTTTTATATTCTAATACACCATCTAATTGTTGCAGTTGTTGTAATTTAGCATAAATTTGAGGATACACAGTTTGAGGAGAGGTTTGTAATAAAATCATTCCATTAGCAGTAAGAATAGGAATAGCAATATAAATCACAATAAAAGCCATTGCCATAGAAAATAGTCCATCGTAACTAATGATGCCACTACTAAATTAATAAAAAGATTAAAAATCAAAAACATAAAATGACAAACGGATACCAAAACGAAATAGAGTAAATGGTTATTACTGTAATATTTTGAATAAAATGAAACAGTACAAATCTTTTTTGTGATTGAGGGATAGAAGATGATGTTGATGATGCCTCACGAACAAAAATAATATCTGAAAAGAAGCACAACCCAATTCCATTAATCAATAATCCCCAACATACTGTACTAATAATTGAATGAATACTATCTGGCTCTGTTGCAATAACCACAGGTTCTATCATTCTTTCAACACATTGCATCAATGTAAATGCAGAAAAAAGAACTAAGAAAAATCCATTAATAAATCCTAACAAAGGTTCAACTCGTTGAAACCCATAAGTCATTGATTCAGTAGAACTTCTATGTGCATACATCTTTCCTGCGTAATAAATAATAATAGAAAATAAGCAAAATGCTGTATGTACTGTACTAACAAGTAACCCCAATGAATTTGTATCAACACTTACCATCAATTCTCGTAATGCAAAAACCATCAATACAACAAAATACACAATATTTATTTTATCTTTACGTGTTGCTAGAACAACATTTTTTAAGTTAGAAAAGAAAGAAGATTGTTCTTCAACTGCAAATGTTGGCATTGTTTATTCATTTTTGAGATGAAATTTAGTATTTTGTGATATAAAACAATAATAACCTAATTTAATGTAAAAGAATTTTAAATGAAAAAGATATTCATCAACACAATTATCGTTATCATTAATGGTGCAACATTACTTCTTAAATTCATATTTGGTTCTTCAACACACATCCCAGATTTAGTACAAACATAACCTGTGGAACAAGTACCACAAGAGGGTTGACAACCTTCTTTCCATGGAGATAGTGTATGGTCATCATATGATTCATTGGTGATTGTACATTGAGTATTGGCACAGTTCATTGAGTCCCAATCACAATTTTTATCAACAACATCATCATTCATAATTAAATGAGCATTTTCTAAAATAAATTGAGTTGATGAAGAAGTTTTAAATTTTAAAGAGAAGACATTAGAAAATGCTGTGCATGACTTATCTAAAATAACTTTAATATAAACTTTTTCAGAACCATTAATTGTTTCCGTCATTTGTTTCAATTGTAAATTATCACAGTCAACCAAAATATCACTCTCCTTAAATTCTTTTGTATTTGTATTTGTTCCTAATGAAGCATGAATTAAGTCTAGTGTTCCTGAAACTAAAGTTGCTTCAAATTGAAGTTCTTGATAAGATGCTGACATTTGATGAAGTGTTCCATAATAAAAGAACATACTTAATTCATCTTCTGTGGTTGAAAGAATAACATCTTTATTTGTAGGTTGTAACTTATTAATTAAACCATTTATTTTAGTATATAGTTTCCATCGGAAAAATCTCATGTCAGAAATACCCTCTTCTTTATCATAAATATTTAAAGTGGCACAATATTTGCATTCACTCTTTGTATTTGTTATAAACCTTGAAGTAAATACTAAATAACGTTCTTGAGTAAGATCTACATTTGTCATAGAAACGACATCATCCTCAACAGAAACTATTTGTATATGACTTGAACTAGTAATTTTGTTTTGTGGAATAACGTATCTACCATTTTCGTTTTGTTGATACTCAACTTTATTGATAACTAACTTTTCATCTTTAACATTTGAATTAAATAATGTAATTTCATATGAGTCAGTTTGTTTCTTTACATATATTTTTGGGAAGACTTTAAAAGGACAGGTTGTAGGTTGTAATACTACCTCAATCATTGAAATAGTAATGGCTGCATTAAAGGTAGACGCAATAGTATCATACCCTTTTTGTGTTACCCCAACGGTTTTATTTAACCAATCAGGATTAACTGTATGATTAGTATAAAAATATCCCGCTACAACACAATATAATGGATCTCCAACTGGACCTTTAATTTCTAAACACTGACCACACCTAGAAATATTTAACCCATCTTTCTGAAAATACATATAATCTTTATGAACATAACATGTCTGTTGTATAGTGTATGAGTATAATTCTTTTTCATAGTTTGGTATATCTTTATAACAAATTTCTTTAACATAATACTGTCCTCCTGAAGAACCTACATCTTTATCATTAATTACTCCAATCATTGCCTCTTGCAAACAAAAAGCATCACAAAATATAGTAAATAATAAAAAAAGTGGTGATCCTAATAAAAATTTCATAACTACATTTTTCGTTTTTGTTGTTTTGTACTAATTTTTATTCTAGAAATAACTAACTTCGTTTTCTATTTCATTCTTTTTTAGTTTTTAATAATTTCAATTTTTTTTTATTCTCAAATAAAAAACAAAAAATAATTATTATTTTGTTATTAATAATTATAAAAAAAAAATTGAAAAAAAGAAAAAAAAAATAAGAAAATTCTCAAAGGATCTTAAAAAGATGAAGAACTAAATAAAGAAGATTTCATATGGTTTGTTAGATGTATAATTGAGAAAGAAAGATGATACAAATATTTATTGTTGTTAGCTTGTACTTGTTATTGGAGATTTTCATGTTCCACATAGGAGTGCTGCTATTCCACAAGTATTTCTTGATCGATTAAATACTGGAAGAATTCAAACAGTTCTTTGTACAGGGAATCTTTGTGGAAAAGAAACATATGATATTTTGAGAACTCTTGCACGTGAAGTTCATGTTGTTAAAGGAGATTTTGATGAGATGCAAGGACTTAATGAAACTGAAGTAATTAAAATAGGAAATTTCAAAATTGGATTAATGCATGGTCATCAAGTTATCCCTTGGGGAGATCGTGAAGCACTTGCTATTTATCAAAGACAACTTGATGTTGATATTTTAATTACTGGTCATACCCATAAATTAGAAACAAAAGAAGTTGGTGGGAAATATTTCCTTAATCCAGGTAGTGCTACTGGTGCTTATTCTCCTTTAGTAGACAATCCAGTCCCTTCTTTTATGTTACTTGAAATTAATGATTCAGAATTAACCATTTATGAATATACCTTAGTTGATGGTTCTGTTAAATGTGAAAGAGTTGATTTCAATAAGAAACAACAACAATAAGTTCACTTCCTTTTTATCTTTTTATTTTTGTTATATAAAACGATATTTATTTATATTCTTTTTAAATCAACGTTATTTAAAGTTATGATGAATAATAGGAAAAGTCCTGATAAATTAAAGAGAAGATTTAAATTAAAAAGAATAAGGTGAAGTGGAATTGTAAGTTGGTTTTTAAGTTTGTTTGGAAATTACGAAACTACAAAAACTACTCAATTAAGAAATGATTCAAACAATTATTATTTTTTGTTTTATCATGTTTTATTCACTTACAAATGCTACTGAATGTAGTTGTGAATCTTCACTTGACTCTAACCATTGTACTGAATGTAGTGAAGGGTGTCATCTCTACTTAGACTTCCCAGAAGGAGCAGTTGTTCCTAGTTTAATATGTAAACCAGACGATGTTCCTAATTGTGACTTTCAAGACGAAAACATATGTGTTCAATGTAAAGATGGATATTATTTAGAGAATAATGAATGTAAAGAGTGCAACAATCTTATTAATGGATGTAAATATTGTAATAGTACTAAATGTTTTGTTTGTGATAAAGATGCTGAAGGAAAACAATTATATCTCTCTAATACTCAAGACAAATGTATTGATTGCAGTGATTCTAATAATGCAGAGTTATGTGGAAGATGTAATGATGGAAGTTATTTTGATTCAACAACAAGAACTTGTCAAAAATGTTTTAATAATTGTGAGTTATGTACATCGAGTACAAATTGTTTTAAGTGCAGTAACAAAACTATTTTAACAGAATCAAATGGTTTATATGAATGTACTCCAATTGATAATTGTGATCCAGAATATTCTAAAGATGATCATTGTGAAAAATGTATTAATGGTTATTATCTTAAGAATGGTAAATGTTTTAAATGTCAAGATGGATGTAATGTATGTTATGAAGACACTCAAAGTAATTCTTTAAAATGTTCTGAATGTGAACATGATAAAATTATGAATAATGGAAGTTGTTCTGATGCTTCAAGTTTACATTGTTTACAAGGCAGTCCAATTTTTGGATGTACAGAATGTGAAAAAGGATATTATTTTGGTTTAGATTATACATGTCAAAAATGTAGTTCTAGTTGTAGTACTTGCGTTGGAACATCTGATCATTGTTTAAGTTGTTCAACAAATTATTACTTTGTTAAAGGGAAAACAACATGTGTACATATGGATTCTCATTGTAGATTAGCTGATGAGTCTGGATGTAAAGAATGTAATAATGAACTTGTTATAGAACATCAAAATGATACAGGATATTATATTCCTGAAGGTTCACAAACTTGTCAACCATGTGAAGAACATTGTAAATTATGTGAAAAAGAATCAAATCATTGTACTTCTTGTATAGATAATTATCTTCTTAAAAAAGTTGATGATACAAATGGAAATTATCATTATGAATGTATTGAAAATGATAAAAAAACTTGCATTTCTACAGAAATGGGGTATTGTACCGAATGTATAGCAAAACACTTTATTGCCACTTCTGCAGATGGATTAGAACAAGAATGTACTTCATGTGATATATCATGTGATACTTGTGAAAAGAATAATTCGTGTTTAACTTGTGCAAAAGATTATTATTTACCAAGAAATTATACAGGAAATAAAGTAAATTCATTATGTAAACAACAAAGTGAAATTAATATGACATGTCAAGCTGGAACATCTGGATGTGAAGTTTGTAATGATGGATATTGGATTAATTTAGATGACAACACTCAAGCAAATTGTACTGTATGCCCTAGTGGATGTTCTAAATGTCAGTGGTCAACAAATGAACAAAGAGTAATTTGTTTACTTTGTGATACAGAGGGTCAATACGTTAAAAATGGAGAATGTGCTCCATGTAATGAATTAAAACATTGTGTTGCTTGTTCAGGAGATAAATGTGCTACATGTGAAGATGGATATAGTTTAGATGCAGGATCAATGTCATGTTCAAAAACAAATTTGGGATTAATTATTCCATTAATAGTAATAGCTGTCATTATCATTATTATCATTATCATGGTAATTATTGGGATTATTTGGTTGAGAAGAAGAAAAAGTGTTAAAGCAGAATCTACTGCTATTAAACCATTCCACGTATCATCAGATCTTGAGTTAATGCTTCTTGGAGCAGATAATGAAAAATTCCCATTAAAAACAGATAAATGGGAATTAACATTTAATTTGGCTAAATCTAAAGCAATTGTTGATCAAGAGTATGAAGAAACAGTTAATTTAGCTAATATGTCAAAGAAAGAATATTATTTTGAATTCTGTTACACTCCATCTCATAGATATGATTTAGAAATTAATCCAAAAAGTGCAACATTAAAACCAGGAACTGCTATTCAAGTTACATTTAAGATTAAAATATTATGTACTTGCTCATTATCTGATCAACTGGGTATTTCTGCTATGGATGTTGATGATCAAACTAAAGAAACTGCAGCATTTAATATTATTATTGAATCTGATTTATCATTGAAATTAGACCATACTGAACTTAAACCAATTATGCCACCAATTGGAGAAGGTGCTTTTGGTATGGTATTTAGAGGAACTTATAGAGGAAGAGAAGTTGCTATTAAAAAGATGAAAGCAAGAAATTTAACACAAGAACAAGAAAAAGAATTTAATCATGAAGTATCTATGATGACTCAATTAAGACAAAATTGTGTTGTAGAATTGATTGGAGCAGTATATACCGAAGGAGAAATTGCTATTGTTACAGAATTTGCAGAATATGGGTCAATGAGTAAAGTTTGGGATAAACAAAAAATTAGTTACCAATTAAAAATAAAGTTCTTAGATGATATGGCTGTTGCATTATCTTATCTTCATCAAAACCAAATTCTTCATAGAGATGTTAAAGGTGAAAATTTATTAGTTTTCTCATTAAATCCTCATTCACCAGTTTGTGCTAAATTAACTGATTTTGGTACTTGTAGAAATATTTCTGAAAGAAGTTTGAGTGCTAAAGAATTGTCTCAAGGTATTGGAACACCTACTTATATGGCACCAGAATGTCTTCAAAATTCTACTGATTATTCATATCCAGTTGATGTATATGCTTATGGTATTGTATTATATGAAACATATGTAGAACATAATGCATATGATGGAGATGAAAGATTTAATCAACCATGGATGATTCCACAATTTGTTATTGAAGGTAATAGATTAGAAAAACCTGATGGTATTCCAGAAAATTATTGGGAATTAACAACTAAATGTTGGTCTCAAAATGCAGTTGATAGACCTTCATTTGTTGATATCTTAAAAACTATTGAATCTTGGGGTGAAGACATTAGGTATGCTTTCAATGTTGAAGTAGATAAAAAAATACAAGGCAGTGATGCATCTAGTTCTACTTCTGTACCATCCAGTGCTCAAGAACCATCAACTAATTCTACTTCAACACCAACAGATGATAAACCAAGTTCATCTTCTGAACAAAAAACTTCAAATGAAAGTAAAAAGAAATCAGAAAGTACTAATCAAGAAGAATTAAAAGAAATCATATTAAATGAACAATTACAACAATCATCAAGCTCATCTTCAAGTTCTGACTCAACTAGTTCATCCAATTGACTTATTTCTAAATGATTGGTTTAGTTATAATAAAAGATGAACGAAACACAAAGAAATGTAAATTAATTCATTAAAGAAGTGTTGAAATATTTCTCAAAGGATTTAATTGTATCATTTAAATCACCTAAACGTTGCCAAAAATCAGATGGAATACATTCAATACAATAAGCTTCATCTAAAACACTTCCATTTGCATCTTTGGGTTCCCAATATAAGAGTTGTTTATACAAAGTTTGTGCATTTTGTTGTGGATGACTTGGATTAGTTGAGGTAGAAGATGAACGTTGTGATGCCCCTGTTGAACTTTGTTGACTTAAATTAGTTGATACATTTGTTCGAGCACGAGTTTCACCAATACTCTTATTTGTACTACCATTTGTCCCACCACTTGTTTTCGGTTGTCTTTTCTTTGGAATATAAGGAGGTGCTACAAGATTTAATGTTGACATCCAACAACACGTATATTTATACTCTTTTTAATAGTTCTTTATTATTCATTTTTATTATTTCTATTTTTTTTGATTTAATCTTTTTTAGTTTTTGTGTTTTTAGTATTTTAAAGGGTGTTGTTTTAACCAAAAATCACAAAAATCTGTTTTTTCTTTTTTATCTTCGACGTGAAGAACTTTGAATGAGAAGAACTTTTCAGTTTGAAAAAATTTTATTATCAAAGAAGATTAAAACAATGACACAAATACACAAAGTAGGACCATTTTTAATTGGGAATAAGTTGTTAGGAGAAGGTGCAACAGGAAAAGTCTTTTTGTCATTTCATGAAGAGTCTAATGTTAAAGTTGCAATTAAAATTATTGATAAAGCAAGTATTTGCAGTCGTCCTGAAAAGAAAAGAAAGGTTGAGAGAGAGTTAGCAATTCTCCGAATTATTCATCACCCAAATATTATTGATTATTATGCATCTTATGAAACAACGAAATTACTTTTTGTTGTTCAAGAATTATTAAGTGGAGGAGAATTGTATACATACGTTGAGAAAAAGAAGAAGTTATCATTAGAAGAATCAGTTAAGTTTCTTTTACAAATATTGTCTGCTTTAAAATATATTCATAAATGGCAAATATGTCATAGAGACGTTAAGCTGGAAAATATTTTATTAAGTCATGATTGTTCAACAGCTAAATTATGTGATTTTGGAATGGCAACATATACTGGGGGAATGCCTTTAAGAGATTCTTGTGGTAGTCCTTTTTATGCTGCACCAGAACTTTTTACTCAACCAACATATGATGGATGTATTGCAGATATTTGGTCATTGGGAGTTGTTTTTTATGTTATGATTTTTGGACTTATGCCATTTCCAGGAGAAACTGATGAAGAATTTGTTGAAAATGTAACAAAGTTAACATATCAAATTCCTTTTGAACTTCCACCTCCAATTCACGAAGCTTTAACTGGAATGTTATGTGGTGATGTTAAACAACGTTTGACTTTGGATAGAGTTAAATCACTCATTGAACCTTTTTCTCAAATAACAACACCAGCTCGTCCAATACCATCGAAGAAAATAAAGTATTCTATATTCGATAGTTTACAAGATTTAAGTATATCAATTAATGATACTGTTGTAAGAAATATCCCAAACTCATTGGAAAATGATGGAATTATTGGAAATGAACCAAATAAAATTGAAGATGTTGAAACAATTGCTGGTGGTCCAATAACTATTGTTGATACTAAAGTTATGCAAATGTTATCTTCGTTGTTAACGCCATTACATATTTCGAAAATAAGAGAAGCATTATTTGCTCCTAATCCAAATACTGTACGTGCATTTTATCGTTCTATTACTGAACATACACAAAATTCATTAAAAACATTAACTTCTTCAAATTTAAAAATAAAAACCATTAATACAAATACTACTTTATTCGCGGTTTCTCCATTACTTTCAGACCCTTCTTCTTATAAAAAAAGTGTTTCTCCTGCATTTTGTGAATTACTTAAGAAGAAAAGAAGTTGTTCTCCTGTTAATATTAAATATAAAGAAACAGTTTCTCCTCCTTCTTCTGTTAATATCCCTCATGAAATTAATGTTTTCTTTTCTCCAACAGAAGGTCCTTTTATTCACCAAGCAACTATTGATATGACACCTTCAAAAACAATAACCAAAATTAATGAAATATTAAAAGAGCTTGGTATTGTATTCGAACATCAAATTACTGTTGATAACATTGAAAAATGTTTATATCACTATGACATTGATGACTCTTTGAATAAAAATAAAGCTACTTTCAGTCAAATTATATTTACTATTCTTATCAGCGTTGGAGACACTTCTGACATTGACGTTAGCTTCGAAGACAAAACTATTATTAAATTTGAACTATCCGAAGGAAGTGTTTTAGTATTTGGAGATTTATGGAATGTGATTAAAAGACAATTATTAGAATATGATAGCTTTCCTATTGAATAAATCATTTGTTTGTAACATCATCAAAACTTTGTTAAAATGACTTTTGTTTTTTTACGCTTTTAAACTTTAAAAATCTTGGGAAATTAAAGCAATTAAAAAATAAACATCATTTAAGTAATTCTTGAAACTCAAAAAAATTGAACTTGAAAATTTATTTCGACAATGTCAAACAATACTATCAATCAAGTTAATTATGCTTACAGCAATGAACAACAAAATATTTATCCAAATGGATATTCTATTTTAAGTACATATAAAAAGACAGTAAACGCCTTGTTAGAGAATTTAAAACATTTTACACCACATGTTGAATCTTCTAAAGAAGTTTACTGTACTGATGGTTATAAAGGAGGTTGGTGTACTGGTACTTATCAAACTAATACCATTAATAGTCAAATCAATGACATTAATAGTCAAATCGATTATATTAATAATGTTATTAATTATTTCTTTCAGTGTGGTAATTCTATTCCAAATTTAGATAGAAATAATTATTATGAAGTGTATATATTCATTAGTAATATCTTCAAACCATTGGTAATTTCAGAATTTTTGAACTTATATAATGAATTTCTGTTCAAACTAAATTATAGTGATAAATTCAAACAAGAAATTGATGAGTTAAGAAAAAAACTTTTGTATCTTTTCTATAAAATTATAAAACCCACTGCAACTGAAAATTATGTCACTGTGAGTCAATACGTTGAAAGTCTAATTAAAGGTAGAGGATATTCTACTTCAACATGGGATCAATGTTTCTATGCTTTGTATTTGACGGTTAAAGACATTAATTGTTATACACAACCGAGTAAAGACTCTCTTAGTAGTTACGATACAGTTTATAACCCTTCAAGTATTACAGTTTGTCTTACCAAGATTCAACCCTTTTATGAAAAATATAAAATATTAGAATCTGAAAAAGAGAGTCTTTCAGATGACTTGAAATTACAAAAACAAGAAAATGGCATACTGTCAAAGAAAAATATTAAATTACATGATAAAGTAAACAATTTAAATGAACAATTAGGTGAAAGAGATCATACAATAAGTAAATTACATGATGATGTAGAAAAATTACAAAAACAATTAGGTGAAAGAGATAATACAATAAGTGAATTACAAATACAGATAAACGACTTAACAAGCAAAGTTCAAAAAACTGAGAGGCGTGTAGAAGTTTTAAATAACAATAATGAGAAGGTATGCAAACAACTAAAACAGCAAGTTGAAGAACAACTTAACCAAATACGTGCTAATATGAATGAGGAAAAAATGAGACAAGAATCAACATACCAACAGAAGTTGAGTCTTCAAACAGAAAACTTCAACCAAGAAATAAAAAAATTAACTGAAGAAGAGATAGATTTAAAAAATAAAAATTTGTCTCTTAAAAATGAGGTAGATGATCTAAAAACTTTACTTTTTGTTAAGTTATGTGGTAAAGCAGAAAAGGTTATTCAGCCAGAAGTTAAAGGACGAGGAATTGAATATAGGATTGAATTAAAGCCAAAGAAAGAAATATTTACAGTTCCAGTTTCTCAATCAGAGAAAAGAAATGGTGCATTTAAAATTAAATTACCACGACTCATAATTAATACAAATGATGAGAATTTAAAATATGAAGATTTCCAAATTAATTTGAACGATGAAAAAAAATTCCTTTTTCAAGAAAAAGGTTCATTTATTCTTGATCAATCACTGAACCTACAAATAGATATTGTAAATGCTAAGGAGAAAGAAGAACCAACCTCCAAACAAAAAAGACAAGAAAGAGACATTAAAAATAATGTTGCTGGTGAAGAACAACAACAAAAAATAAATAAAGAAGTAGCTAAAGTCTTTGTCCCTATTGAAAATTATCTTTCAGAGGGTTTATATCTATTTAATTATAATGGCAGAGAAATTCCATTACGTGTAAGTCTTAATACTCAAGAAGGTGAAATTTTTCAATTAAACACTCAAAATGGACCAATAAAGGTTCAAGTGCATTCTGATCCTAACGCAACCTATTGCAGGGATGGTTTTGATTTAATTCAAACGCTCTATTTCTCAAAAGAGTATGAAGGTCATTCAACTTACATTCCAATAGACATTTATGATGGTACTACTGTTGGACCATATAATTTTAAAATTGAAGATGGGTATTATGTGGTTTGTGAACAAAAAGGATTCTATAATCCTCATGGAATTAGGGGGTCATTAAAGCTTGTTGTAAGGATTTATGACCAACACTAATCATTTAATTGAATGATTTTACTTTATTTAAAATTAAATAATAAATAGAAATGAATTAAGCATCAATTTCAATAGAATCAAGATCATCAATAGTCATGTTATATTTAATAGAAGGAGTGTATGGAAGAAAATACCATAAAAGAGAAAGATCTTTTCTAACAAGAAAAGCATCTCTCCAATTTTGAATTAAAGAAATATAATAAGGTAAAACTAAAGTTTTATTTTTAATTAATGAATTAATAGTAGAAATCATATCAACCATTGTTTCATTAACTGAAATCATAACAGTTTGTACAATAAATTGTAATAAACAAGTAATAAATAAATTTGCTAAAACAAGTGTTATTAATAAAACACATTTAAAATAAAATTCTTGATTTCCTTTTTTATTATAAAGAATAATAACTAACATAAATAATCCTAATAATGTTGTTGTAGTTCCATGATAAAGAAATAAATAAAAATGTCTAATGTTATGTAATCCAATACAACTTAACCAAGCACAATGATGATCATATCTTACCACACATTGATTACAAACTGAACAATGATGAGTCCTTGGATATTTTTGTTGTTTACAAATATCACAAAATTCAATTTCATTTGAATTATTTACTAAAGAATGATAATAATTCATTGGAATGATAAATGGTTTTGTTGTATATGATTTATACCAATGATATAATAAACAATATAATTTATAATGTGACCATATAAATATAAAAATAACAAATGACATTGAAAATAATTCTTTTACATATCTAAAGATAAAGTTATAAAAAAGTAAATACATTCCAATTAATAATATTGGAATAAATAATGGAATAAGTCTAACAAAAAATCTAAGTTTTTGAATCATTTTATTTTTTGATTGAAGAATATTAGGTGTTTGTAATGGGTCATTTACTGGTTGTTGTTTTTGTAAGAATTTATCCATTTAATTAAATTCTAAGTTCTCAATAACTTATTTAACTAATTTCTTTTATAATTTTTTGAAAAATATTTTTGTTTTTAATAAAAAAAATTGAATTAATTTGAAAATGAAAAAGATTTCTTTATTGGAACTCCATCTGATGGTGTTGTAACGCTTTTCTTTCTAAGATGACTTTGGTCAATATCAATTTTACCTGATTTAGAATGAGATCTCTTTTTATAAAGCTCATCTAATGTTCCACTCTTTGGTGTTGATGTTTTGATAAGATATCCTTCTTTTTTCTTTGGTGACATTTCTGATAATCTTAATGATACTCCTATTGCTCCATAACCATCATTAACTTGTTTTTGAAAACTTAATGAATTCTTTCTTGAATTAGAAGTTGATGATGGTTTAGAATGACTTCTTGATCTTTGACATGAACTAGCTGCTGAATGAGAACTTGAATGAGACAATGAGTGAGAACTTGAATGAGAATAAGTATCATGTTCATGAATAAATTCCCTTAAAGGAGTTTCATTTAAAGAACATTGTAAACTAAATTCATTAAGAACATCTAATAACAATTTTGATTGTATTTGTTGGTCATATTTCTTTGTTAATTCTAATGAATTAATTAAAGAAGAAAAAATTTCAGAATGATAAGAAAGAATAGGAAATGTTGGTATTTGAGATGAAGGAATTAATTTAGGTAATTTTTGGAAATAAAAATGTTGAATTGAATCAAAGTCATTTAATTTTGAAATAAGTTTCATAATATCATCATTTTTTATTGATTTACAATCGATTAAAAATGTTTTCTATAACATAATTAATATTGAAGAAATAATAAAAACAAAAAAAAAAACAAACTATATAATAACTCAGTTTGATAAGTATTATAGCCATTTCTTTTATTAATAATTCAATAACATAAATTGTTAATTTAGAAAGATACAAATCAACGTTTTTCCAATGAATTTGTTTTAAATCATTAAATAATCCAATAATAATATCTAAAATAATTAAAATTAATTAATTATTAATTATTTCTTTATTAATTAAAAAAAAAACAAACCAAATGCATTAAATGCATTTCTCCAATCTATTTCATTACAAAGAGGTGTTAGTGGAGTATTTTCTTCCATTATAATATCAAATCTTTCATATAATTTTATAATAGAATCAATATATTTACAAAATATTCTAGTTAAATCATCTTTTTCAGTTAAACCTAATTGGAAAATACCAAATTGTAAATGTTCTTTTTTTATTTTTTTTAGTAATTCTTTTTTATAATCAACTTTTATTATATTTAAAATTATAATTAATAAATGTTGAACTTCTATCCATCCTTTGTTGTTATTTTTCTTTATTAATTCACAAATTAATTCTGTCATTCTTGTTGAATCTACATCTTCTATATAATAATATATTATCTCTTCTATGTGTTTCTCTTTTGGTGGATTTTCTTCATTTCTTGTTGCTTTTATTAAAATTGTTTCTTCATCACTTTTATTTATACATTTAATCATTTCAATCACTGACATCTGTTATTGATTAGTTAGTTTTATTCTACTAAAAAATATAATGAAAGAATTTGTTAAAAAAAGTTATTGACAAACTTCTAAAAATATATTCCTTTAATTTCTATTTTTTTGTATTTTTTTTTTAACAAATTTTTTTACAAAAAAAAATTTGTTAAAAAATCTTAAAAATCTTTTCATATCAATAAATGACAACTAATTACAATTTATATTCTAATGAAGTTATTAAACAAAATGAAATGATAGAATCACTTGGAGATATAGCAAATAGAATACATTCTAATGTAAATGCAATTACAGATGAACTTAATGTACATTCAGATTTATTAGATGAAGTTTGTTTTTTATATAATTATTATTATTTTATTATTTATTTTATTAGATTGACGAAAAAACTCCTTTAGTTCATGATCATGTAAAAAAGACACAATCACAACTTAAAACTCTTTTATTAAGATCAGAAGATAAAGTACGTTGGTCATTAATATGTTGTTTATGTTGTGTATTGATTATTGTTATATTTCTTGCTATAACGCTATAATCTTTTATTTTGTTATACAAAACGATATTTTACTCATTTTATTTTTTTATCTTTTGAATAAGAAAAAAGAAGAAACCCTGTTGTAACAATTGAACCATTCAATGTCATTTAGATCAAGTGACCTACAGCTTCAACAACAATGTCAACAACGTCATAGTGAAATTGGTCAATTAAGAGCACAAAAAAGAAGTCAAATAATGAACCAAAAAAGAAGGAAAATTGATTTTGAACCAAGAAAAGATGGATTAATTCCAATTGAAGAGATGCAAAATTTATGTTATGAAGTTATTAATGGGAATACAAATTGTTTAATGAGATTATTAGAAACACTTAGTAATGATCCTGTACCATATCAAATTATTAAATCAACAGGAACAATTAAAACAATTATTAAAAATCTTAAAAGCGATAATAATGATATTATCTTTTATTCATTATCAATTCTTATTAATTATTCTGCATTTTCCCCTGAAAACTCAAACGAAATTTGTCAACAAGGAATTTCTTTATATTTTGAATATTTAATTAATGCTAATGATGAACGTATTGTTATGCATCTTCTTTGGTTAATGGCAAATATTGCATCTGATGGTGTTATTCCATCAGAAATTATTATTAATAGTGGAATTATTCAATACTTCCCTTCTGTTTTACAAAGATTTCCAACATTACGTACTAGAAGTCAAATAATGTGGTTGTTTTGTTCATTAGTTAGAAGATCAGAAAACAAACAAATTGATTCTAATTTCATTCAAGTAGTAATTCAATTTGCAATGAGTTGTTTTGAATATAGTACCAATGATAACGATGAATTAATTTCTGATGCATGTTGGACACTTCAGTATATTGCATTAATACCAGAGCAATTTAAATTGGTTTTAACAAAACAAGTTATTGAAAAAATGTTATATTGTTGTCGTTCATCTGAAATTAAAATAGCTGTTCCTTCAATACGGTTTTTTGGTAATTTATTAACTTATGACGATGAAATTGCTAAACAATTAATTACCCAATTACTTCCAATACTTATTTATTTAAATGACTCAATTGACCCTTCAATTTTAAAAGAATTATATTATGCAATATCAAATATTACAGCATGTAAAGATATATCTCTCCTTCAACTGATTCTTGATAGTAAACTTCTTTATAATATTCCTATATTAGTTATTCAAAGAGATGTCTCAAAAATGGCTCGTGAAGAAATGGAATGGACATTGTCTAATTTCTGTTTTGGTGCTACAAACCAAATGTTACAAACACTTCTTACAAATTGTCCAGCAGTTATTGCAGCTTTATTCTCTATTTGTACCGAACAAAGTTTACCATCTCAATTATTAATAATAACACTAAAATCAATAAGAAATGTATGTCGGTTTTGTGATGATAATAAAGTTAGTATTAATGATGTAGCTGAAGAATTTCAGTTTGAAACAGTATTAGAAGATATTATTATTAATGAGCCAAATAAAAGAATAAAAGAATTGGCAACTAATTTATTAGAAAACTATTTTAGAGAACCAGAAATGATGTTATAATTGATTTATGCCAGTTTTAAATTGGTTTTTATGGAAAGATTAAATAATAAGACAAAAACGAAATTAGTCATAAAATAAAAATAAAAATAAATTAAAATATTAAAAAAAAAGAAAGAAAACCCTGAACTTAGAAAAATAGAACTTTAAATCAACATTCAATAAATGGCTTCACGTGAAGATTGTGTCTATACTGCTAAACTTGCTGAACAAAGTGAAAGATATGATGAAATGGTTCAATGTATGAAACAAGTTGCAGAAATGGAAGCAGAATTATCTATTGAAGAAAGAAATTTGTTGTCAGTTGCTTATAAGAATGTTATTGGAGCTAAGAGAGCTTCATGGAGAATTATTTCTTCTCTTGAACAAAAAGAACAAGCTAAAGGAAATGATAAACATGTTGAAATTATTAAAGGATATAGAGCTAAAATTGAAAAGGAACTTTCTACTTGTTGTGATGACGT